ACCCCTCTATCCACCCCTCTATCCACCTGCACCCACCCAGCCATCTACCCCTCTATCCACCTGCACCCACCCACCCACCTACCCCTCTATCCATCTGCACCCATCCACCCACCCACCCACCTACCTACCCCTCTATCCACCTGCACCCAGCCACCCACCCACCTACCCACCCAGCATGCATCCTTTCACCCACCCACCTACCCATCCGCCTACCCATCCACTCACTCCCATCCATTCACTGCCCACCTATCCATCCAGCCACCCACCTACCCACCTACCCCTCTATCCACCCATCCATCATCCACCCACCCACCCACCCATCCATCCAGCGGCAGCACCTCAGGCAGCTGATCATCTCTGATCTTCTCTGACACCACCGGACAGGTGGCTGCAGTGGGGAGGCAGCGGCAGGCTCTGGCTCTGGCCCCTCCCCCCAGTGTCCCTGCCTCTCCCTCAGCTCTGTTGCTCTGTATCCTGGCAGCTTTGGCGGCCGTGGCCTCAACACCCCTCGTGGTAGTGTCTCAGCGTTTCCCAAATTTCCCCTGCATTTCTCAATTCCAGCTCTGGAGAGCACCTGAGTGCCAGCCTGGCTGCTGTGCGGGAGGCTGCCATCGGTCTGCCCATCCCTGGTCCGGGGAGGCAGGGATGGGCTGGGAATAGGCAGCTGCTCTTAGAACGAGCCATAAACAAGTGTCCTTTTCTGTCTCTATTTGTGCCTCATTTTTTTTTGCATTTTGGGGCTTTTTGGTGATTTTACTTTTAAAATGGCCCCAGGCATGGTCCTGCGGTGCTGTCCCGTGTTCCTAAGCGCAGGCTGGGCTGTGTCCTGTGCAGGAGATTCGTGTGTTAGACACGCTTCGTTCAGGCACGAGTGACAGGCTGCCAGCCGGGAGTTCAGTGTTGGTGAAGGACGGTACACGTTAGATGAAACGTCTTTACACAGAAACGCACGGAAGCGAGGCTAGCGTGTATTGATTGGCAGGTGAAACGGTTGTGACCAGAGGCTCACAGGAACCTGGCTCTGCCTTTCCCCTGGGAGCCGCGGTTCCGAATTCACAGATTCACTGTTTGCAGCAACGTTACAGAACATAACTGCTGAGGACGAGAACCGCCGTGCATGTATTTCGCTGGCGTGGGACGTGGATAAAGTGCCCGAATCTTGGGGGAGGAACATGATGAGATTTTATGTTCTTAGAAACCCACCAAGATCAAACCGGGGCACACTTCCAGGGCCCAGAAGGCTCCACTGCCCCCTCAGCTGGCGCCCCCAGAGGTGACTGCTGTTCTCATCTCTGCTACCGCAGGTTCTCTGGCGGGTTCTGGAAGTCCAAGCGAGTGTCAGAGTTTGTGCTGGCTCCCTTTGCTCCGCAGCGTCTGGGATGCACCCGGCGCTTGCGTTTACCGGGCTCGCTTGCCTGGGTCTCCGTGAACTCTTCCACCCCGCTGCAGACACAGCCGCGGAGGAAGCCAGGGCGCCGAGGCGGTGCTGGCCCAGCCGGCTCTTCCCAGCTGGGTCTGTCTGAGGCCTGCCTCCCCTGGGGCGCCCCCTGAGCCACATGGGCCAGTGGCTGGTGGTGACCCAGGAAGGTCCCCCGTGAGGACCCTCAGCAAGCCTCGGGCTGTCCCTCCCATCCCCTGGCCCTGGCTGTCCGGTGGGAGTCTGCACTGGACAGTCTTCTCCGTGGTTCCACGCGGGCCACGCGGTGTGGGGGTGGAGAGCCTCTCCACTTCGAGCTGTGCCATCTTCTCCTCCTAGAGGGGTCTGCGCCGACGAGGCGCTGGGGGCCGGCGGGCTGGCGGCACAGGTGCAATCCCCGCTGCGCTCCGTAGCGGCTTTGAGAGC